GGATAGGGGTGAAGTTCTCCATTACTATTAAAGTAATTTAAGAACAGTAAAGACAATTATTGTATAATTTATGTCAGTTTGAGAACTGTCCTGCTTATGCAATGGACTTGTTAATTTTTAAAAGTCATTTGCATAATCTTGGGAATGTCACAACAAAAAGGTGTATAGCATATAAATAACATGGTGTCTGGGGCACCTGGGTGGCTCAGTTGGTTAAGCGTCTGACTTCGGCTCAGGTCATGATCTTGGGGTCCTGGGAATGAGCCCCACGTAGGGCTCCCTGTGTGGGTGGGGGGTGGAGGGGGAGTGGTGTGGAGTGTGCTTGTCCCTCCCCCTGCCCCTCCTCCTGCTCATGCACGCCCTCTCTCTCTCTCAAATGAATAAATAAAATCTTAAAAAAAAAATAACATGGTGTCCTATAATTTTGAAGAGCCATCTGATGGCAGATCCTTAGTAAAATTTAAATCTTAGTTTCTCTGTATGTTAAGGGGATGGAATGGGTATGGAATAATGTGTGTGAGCCATGGAGCACACTCTTGCTCAGCTTGCTGTGGTAAATGGGCAAAAGGTTAAGCCATCAGTTCATTTCCCAGTGTCTGCTGAACAGTGGCTTTCTTTGTGTTGCTTCACTTGTTAGAGCAATATAGCAAGTGTTATTGAGAGGTAAAACAAAGCAAGTCTTACATCAGACACTGATAGCTTTTTAAAAGGTTGGAATGGGATGTTATTGGATGTTCCAAAGAGTATATTAATAGTACATTTTTATGGAAACCACTGCTGCAGAGTAAACTATATTGGAAATCAAATCAATGTGGTCCATCAGTGATGCTCAGTTAAATATAAATAAGTATTATATGGCTAGTGCACCAGTTTTAGGGAATAATGTTGTGGCATGAGGGAGTGAAAAAAACAACACTTCTTAGAAAATTTGTGGCCAAAGATTTTTCTTAGCCTCTTAATTAGGATAGATTTTATTTTCTGTGTATACAGACTTTTTATTCATAAGATATAGCTTTAAGTATAACTTGAAAGGGAAACTTAATTTAAGTATAGAATGCTTTCAGAGACATGAAATGTTATTTAAGACCTTTCCTATAATGGCCATGGAGTATTTCTTGAGCAGCCATACAGAATAGATCTTGAACAGCTGCATGGAGCACACAGAAGTCATGATTCCTGCCTCTGTGAGCTAACTTGAATAAAGTCTTTCATCTAAAGATCTCACTGTTTATCTATTTCATGAATCCCTCATCTCATCTCTAAAGGGCTCATTCAGTTTAATACAGTTCAACTTTGTGGTTCAGAGCTCTAGAAATTGCTATTGTAACTTACAATGCACAAAAAAAGATAAAGTAATTTCAGAAATTTTTTAAAGAATTAGATAAAATCCACTCTAAAATGATGGTTTTTTGGCAAAGATTTAGAATGATAAGTAGGGATTCTGACTGAAACCTAACTAGTTATATGATCTTTTTTTTTTTTTTAAACAAGCAGTTTATTTATTTTTTTTTAAAAGATTTTGTTTATTTGACAGAGACACAGCGAGAGAGGGAACACAAGCAGGGGGAGTGAGAGAGGGAGAAGCAGGCTTCCCGCGGAGCAGGGAGCCCGATGTGGGGCTCGATCCCAGGACCCTGGGATCATGACCCGAGCCGAAGGCAGACGCTTAACGACTGATCCACCCAGACACCCCTAGTTATATGATCTTAAGTAAATTATGGTATTCTCTTAGATGTCCAGTTTCTCTGTGGTTATAACAAGACCTAACAGAGTAAAGAGAAACAAATGTGTTGAAATGCTTGTCAAGTTCATTTGTTTTATATATAAATTTTGAGTGCTGTCATTCTGCCTTCTTAGTCCTCCTCATAATCTGAGGCTCATATATTATGATCTGTATGAAATGTTCTGCAACCACTTTGGCAGTCAAACTGAATAAGTCAGCTATCATTTCATTTAAATGTAAGTTAAGAAAATATCAGGTGATCTTTTCCTCACCTGGGAATTACATCACATATTGCTACTTATTTGGTAGTAACTATGTGTTACCTCCCATTTTATGTTACATACTTCTTATTCCTGTCCATATATTATGAGTTCTTTTCATTTATTTGAACCTGCACAAAAATGAATGCTTAATACCTTCTAGGAATGGAATAAATTTCTGGTACTTTTGGTTTTCATTGCTTTGGAGTATCTACACATATGTTTTCTTCCAATATGGAAATGGTCAAATTTGACTGTAATTTTACAAAGGAACTTATTTATTGTACTAAAACCACCTGGTCATAATCTTAGAAATCTAGTACTTTTTTTTTTCTCCCCTGAGGAAAAGTGAGGAACCAGAGAAATTTTGATTTAGACATTTCTAACTGAGAATGGCAAAAACACAGAAGGAGTTTGGGTATTATACATTGGAAATAGAATAATGTAGGTGGTATTTATTTGTGCAATTAGTGAATGTTACTGGCATCAACTAAATGCTAGCTTCTTTGCTATAGCCTGGAGACATGGTGATTTAAAAAAAAAAGATGCCTACTTGGTGGAGTTTATAATCAGTAAACAGATAAAATATATTTAAACCAGATAGTAACAACATAATAAGGATTATGAATAAGTGGGGGTGGTGTGAGACAGTAACTGGGTGGAGGGTGAGCTACTTTGTATACAATGATTACAAAAAGTCTCTTAGAGAAAGACACAAAGACCTGAAGAATAAGGTAGTGCCTAGATTATGGTCTCTGAATCTTGTTTCTCTCTGAAAGGAATCAGAATTCCTTAGAAAACTAGCTTACTGCAGATCTGGAATGGAAACTGTTAAAGAAAACAAACTGTCAAACCTTATTGGGGTCATGATGTGGTAGCCAACTGGGAGGGACTCCTTACCACGGATTAACAATTATAGAATCAAAAGAGTAGTGACTGCAATAAGTTGAAACACATCCATTATTTAAAATATATGAGTTCAGGGCACCTGGGTGGCTCAGTTGGTTGAGCGACTGCCTTCGGCTCAGGTCATGATCCTGGAGTCCTGGGATCAAGTCCCGCATCGGGCTCCCTGCTCGGCGAGGAGCCTGCTTCTCCCTCTAACCCTCCCCCCTCTCATGTACTCTCTCTCTCTCATTCTCTCATTCTCGCTCTCTCAAATAAATAAATAAATCTTAAAAAAAATAAAATATATGAGTTCATAATGTTACTTTAAAAATTCATTGTTCAGGGCGCCTGGGTGGCTCAGTTGGTTAAGCGACTGCCTTCAGCTCAGGTCATGATCCCGGGGTCCTGGGATCGAGTCCCACATCGGGCTCCCGGCTCAGCGGGGAGCCTGCTTCTCCCTCTGACCCTCTCCTCTCTCATGCTGTTTCTCTCTCGCTCGCTCTCTAATAAATAAATAAATAAAAATCTTAAAAAAAAAAATTCATTGTTCACCTTTGGGCAAAACTGGACAACCAAATATTTATCTTGCCTTTCTTCTAAGAACTGTACCTCAGGATAACCAAATAGTTCAGGAGAGGTAGCTCTTTAAAAAAGAATTCCAGCTAGTAACTGCAAAAAGAAGAATAAACTATTCTATTTTGATGAAATGAAATTAAATACCTAGGAAATAAAATTTTTCACATTTTCCTATATATAATTTTGAATATTTGGTGTTAGGAAATTTAAAAATCAGCTTAAAGGCAGGGTGGTGAGAGTTCAGCAGGTAGGAATGGGCATGATGGGAAGATATTTCATGCAAATAGCAATATGAGGAAGGTACAAAGGTGAAAAAGTACTCTACATATTCAGGGAAATCTTAGTGATTGGGCTCCCCAAAGTGCAAGGTATGCAAGTATTGTGCATATGCAGTTGTGAGTTCTCAGAAGACACAGTGCCTTGCAGTAGCGAAACCAAACTATTGCCAAGTTCAGGAGGAACTTGAGGTTCAAAGGAGCTTCTCTACAGTTCCTGCTACCCTTTGGGTTCATTGAAATAATGACAAATAGAAGCACTCAACAATGGATTTAATTCAACAGTGGATTTAATGCCAAATTGATTTGGCAGTAGACCTTAGTAGAAGGGTACCATATATAGAGTGCAGCATTGATTTTACTTAGGCAGCCTCTGCTTAAAGTAGGCAATCTGTTAATTAATGTGATTGTTCTTCATCTCAGCATTTTATTTATTGTTTGAAGTTGCACGTAGAGATGAGTATCCTAAAGTAGATGATTTCTAATCCTGTACATTGAACTCTGTTAGAGTGTTAGGGGACCACGTATGTTCCCATCTAAAAGTAATACATTCTGTGTTCAGAGTGAGTAGTTTAATCTCACTTGCCAATAAAATAGTCTGTTAAAATCCTGGTACCCACAGTACCTATTATAGACAAATATTGTTTTTTCCACATTCACTTTGTATGGATAACAGTAAGTAGGTATATTTCTTCGTAAAACTAATTTATTTATTTGAAGTGATCTGTGCCATGATATTATTTAAAAAGGAAAAAAAACCCTTAAAATCTTTCTTGAATTAAAATGACTACTATGGAATAGTTATCACTAAGGTATGTTCACTAATTTTACATGTGAACATGTATCTGCCCCAAACTGAAAATGTTGTTGCCTTTCATGATATATGAGAGTTTGGATTTAGAAATGTGGTCCACGCCACAGCAGAAGAATGGTGGGGAATTGAGATGTTGAGTGGTGTAATCGGAGCTCTGGGGATGTGATATTCCAGAGGTAGTTTGTTTTTATGGCTGGTCAGGTAGTTTGGTGACGTGAAAAGCATATCGCCTAAGTTTCAGTTTTTTCAGCCTTATACTCACCCTTTCCTAAAAATGGAGACAAAAGAGGACTGTGACAAGAATGAACCAGGTTGCAATGTTCTACCATTTATCATTGGTCCTTCTGAATTAAATTTACATTTGAAAAGATGAGATTTGCTAAATAATATACTTTAAGGAAAAGAGCTTCTTTTATGGCACAGTGCTTATTTTATAAAATATGTATATATATGTATTTTAACAGGGTATCCAGAAGTTGGCTAGTCAGTATCTGAAGAGAGATTGGCCTGGAATAAAAGCTGATGAACGGAGTGATTACAGGTAACTTAGTAAATAGATCTTGCCCATTTTCTCTAAAAATGGTTTCATTCAGAGCCATGTCACATATAGATAATGTAGACTTCAGTGTTTTAAAAAATTGCTTTTCTTTGCTAGGTTTTTAGACATAAATTCAAAATTATCAGAAAATGTTAATGTTCTATAACATATGTAAATAATATGTATAAAATAGTTTTCTTATATATTAAGCCAAGTTGTGTTTTGTTTAACTGATTACTACCCACATAAGGAATTTAAAGAAGGTAGATCAGAATGGAACACAAATTGTTTCCTCAGTGACCTATAGATAAAACACATTATTGCAACAATAATGAAACAAGATTGTAGTGTTTTGTCGTGTTTTTTAATTCTGAAATTGTAAATTTGGAGAGGTGGAATTTTATGAGCCTAGGGAAAAGTTTTACACACACACACACACACACAGAATAGGGTATTCAGAAATTGGCTAGTCAATATCCCACATACAAATTTTAAAGAAGGTGGATGATAATGGAATATAAATTGTGTCCTCAGTGACCTACAGATACGTTTAAAGTATTTGTAATTTTGTTTAGGATTTTATGTCTTTTTTTTTTTTTTGAAGTTAATTTGGAAGTGTTTATTGGCTTTTATGCTCAAGACTGTCCTTAGTATTAGGGAACCAGAACTCAAAGACAAGATTTCAGAGCTTGCAGTTAAAACTAATGCCTATGACACAATAGCAGAGAGAATCCAGGATAATTAAGAATCAGTATTCAAGTGTATGGCATGGAGTCTGAATATGAAGTCATGTTGCTGGATTGTCAGTGAAGACTGACATCATCAGGTAAATTCTTAACAGCATTAGAAAACTGAAAGATAAATAAGAAATTATAGCAGTTATTCACAGTTGCAGGACTGACTGGTAACGTGGATGGGGCATGATCAGCTTTAAGTAATAGATTTATATAATTGCTATAGACTAATAGAGCAAAACAGGAAACTAAATAAAACTAGATTTTCTTGTGGACTTTCCAGTATCTTTAAAATTTAGCTAAGAGGGAAAGAGGGAAGAGATGAAATTGTAGACAAAAGAGACAAGTAGAGCAAAAACCTTGAATGAGAGAAAGAATGTTAAATAGTTCAGTATTGCTAGTATGAAGAAAGCCTGACCAAGGAAGAGATTGTTAGCTGGAAAATAAAGGACTTCAGCTTATAGTTAGGCTGTATTCTAAATTTGTTTGAAATTCAGGATTAAGGTTACCAAAGAAGTAAGGATAGAAAGGCTCTGCTCCCTGAGTAGCTTGTACAACCTTATTTCTAAAAGTATGTTAAGCCAACTTTTACTAAATATTTACTAAGTACCAGACAGCATGCTAGGAATTTCAACTTATCTTGTAGTTATCAAAACAACCCTGCAAGGTACATATAGTCACCCTCCCTTTATATGTTAGGAAATTAAATCTCAGGTTATACACCTTATTACTCAAGGTCACACCACTGTTTAAACAGTCATTGATTCATTCTTTATTCATGAGATGGATGTAAAATATCTACTACATGCTAGCTGTTAAAATACATTTTAGGATCAGAGAGACTGTGAGGTGTGGTGCCTGTCTTTACGGAAATTATAGGAGATAGCTACTATAAATAGTTGTGGTATTGGGTTAGGAGTGGAGAGGTACATTAGGACTGTAGAGGAAAACCAAGACTTCTAAATCTGAATCTTAAAGAATATACAGGAGTTTGCTAGGGTTGAGCAAAAGGAATTCTAAGCAGAAGTAACGCCTTAAAGACATGGAGGCATGAGAAAATATGGATGTTAGGTAACCTAGCAGTCCTCCTAGCTGGTGTGAAGTATATGGGTTGGAGGGTGAGAGGAGAGGTGGACCCAAAGGATACATAGACAGGCATTGGGGAGGACTTTACATATTAGAGTTTCTTTTCTTATTCAGAAGATAATGGAAGCATTGAAAAATTTCTGCAAGAGGAACGACATATTCAACTTCACTTTTAATAGTTTGAAGGTGGATTAAAAAGATGTGAAGAATTTGGAGAGGATAAAATTACAGGAATTTAATTTCTCATTGTCTCTTATTTGAACAATGAAAATTAGCAGTAGATATTAGGTTGTGGGGGAGATTTCAGTGGTATTTAGGAAATGGAGGTTAGAGGACTTACAATTGATTTGGCAGTTTTGTTTTTTGTGTGTGTCAAATTTGTTCTGAGACAAACTATAAACAGTTCTATAACTATCAAACTAGAATGTAGTTTTCTCAGTATCTAAAATAGCTCTTAGAACATAGAAAGCGCTTGGTAATAAATATTTACTGAATGAAGAATGAAGTAGAGGGAGAGAGAGGAAGGACTAAAGAATGACCCCGAGGTTTGGTTTTTGTTTTAATTTTATTTTATTTAAATTCAGTTAATTAACATATAGTATATTAATAGTTTCAGAGGTAGAGTTCAGTGATTCATCAGCTGCATATAATACCCAGTGCTCATTACATCATGTGCCCTCCTTAATGTCCATCACCCGTTACCCCATCCCCCACAACCTCCCCTCCAGCAACTGTTTGTTTCCTACAGTTAAGAGTCTCTTATGATTTGTCTCCCTGCTTATTTTGTCTTACCTTATTTTTTCCACACTTCTCCTATGATCCTGTTTTGTTTCTTAAATTCTACATATAAGTGAAATCATATAATTGGCTTTCTCTGATTGACATATTTTGCTTAGCATAATACCCTCTAATTCCATCCACGTCATCGCAAGTGGTAAGATTTCTTTTTTTTGATGGCTGAGTCCCCCACCCCCAGTGACCCCTAGGTTTTTTAATTTAGGTAGCTGAGAGGATGATGGTGGCTTTGTGAAAAAAGGTAATAGAAAGATCAGGATCAAGGGTGAGAATGGCAATTGCCAATTTTTTTGTTTATTAGGAATTTATTTTAGTTCTAGTTGTTTTAAATTTCTCTTTTAACTTTTTTTGTATTTATATTTATATTTGTATTTTAAAAATTCTTACCAAAGTAATATATGTGCAACAGAGTATAAAGAGTATGAAGTGCAGCCTCACCCTCTTTCCCAAGCCTCTCATTCACACTGCTGTTCCCTTAGAGTAAGTGCTGTTAAAAGCATATGGCCTTTTCTTCCATATCTCTCCTGTGTGACACATACATGAACATATACAGTTTTGTTCTTTTTAACAGGACTGGAATTATTGTATACATATGCTTCTGTAACGCTCCCCCCACACACACTTAAGAAGTCTGTTTAGACATCCTTTTAGGTCAATATGTTCAGGTCCCCCATTCTTTTAAATATTTGTGTTAGTGTTACAATATGGGTAGACTGTAGTTCTGTTACCCATTTTTTGGTTGGTAATAATTCGGTTTATTACTATTGCAAATAATGCTGCAGTGAACAACGCATGTATGCATGTAGTTATATCTTTGTGCACTATGAAAGTATATCTATGGGGTGAATTCTTTTTATAAATTATATTCTTTTTATTTATAAATTCTTAAAGAGGGAAATGCTGGGTCAAGGGTTTATGCATTTAAAATGTTGACATTTTAAATAATACTTCATAAACGCTATATCAATGTATTTTACATTTTTTTTTTTTAAGATTTTATTTATTTGACAGAGAGAGACACAGTGAGAGAGGGAACACAAGCAGGGGGAGTGGGAGAGAGAGAAGCAGGCTTCCCGGGGAGTAGGGACTCCGATGCCGGGCTCGATCCCAGGACCCTGGGATCATGACCTGAGCTGAAGGCAGACGCCTAACAACTGAGCCATCCAGGCGCCCCTGTATTTTACATTTCTTCTAATGGATTAGAATTTTTATTTTTTACCAAAAGAGCATGTGATGAGTCTTTTAAAATATTTGTCAGTCTAGTGAAACATAAACTATTTAATGGCATTAAACCACCCCCATTTGCCTTAAGACTAGACAACTGTGACTTTACTTTCCCTTGGACTTTTTTTTTTTTTTTTTAGTCTTTTAGGGCAGTGTTCAGGCTGTTACAACAAAATACCACAGACTGGGTGGCTTATAAGTAACAAATTTATTTCTCATCGTTTTGGAGGCTGGAAGTCCAAGACCAGGATGCCAGCGTGGGTTCTGGGCAAATCCCTCTTCTGAGTTGCAGGATTCTCAACTTCTAGCATGTTCTTATATGGTGGAAGGGGTTTGGGAGCTCTGAGGGGTCTCTTTTTAAAAGGGCACATTATAATCTGCCTTATGACCTAATCATCTCCCCAAAGCCTCACCTCCTGATACCATCATCTTTGGAGGTTAGGATTTCTACATATGAATTTTGGGGGGACACAGACATTCAGACCATAGCAGGTCCTTTCTATATGTGTTTCTCAAAGTTCCCTCAGCTCTCTAGTGACTGTTCTAAGTAATCTTATCCGTCTTATTCCTGTCTTTAAATATTGCCTATAAACTAGTAATGATTGTATGTTTTGTTTTTTTTTTTAAAGATTTTATTTATTTATTTGAGACAGAGAGAATGAGAGGGAGGAGGGTCAGAGGGAGAAGCAGACTCCCTGCCGAGCAGGGAGCCTGATGCGGGACTCGATCCCGGGACTCCAGGATCATGACCTGAGCCGAAGGCAGTCGCTTAACCAACTGAGCCACCCAGGCGCCCTGATTGTATGTTTTTATTAACTCTTCAGCTTGGGAACCAAAAAGTCAGCTGCCTCCAAGTTTGACTTCTTTCTAGATCTCATCCTGTCTTAGGAATGTTAAACAGCGGCTTCTCTGCCTGTGATCTCTCCCTTTCATAATTTCATTAGCTACAATACCACCAACTCCCAGTGTGTCTTTGTAAAATAAGCCTAGTGTCACTCCCCTGCTTGAAGATCGCCTGTGTTTCTCCTTGCCAATGGATGAAATTTAAAAGTTTGTTTATTTTTAGTTTGTTTATTAAATTTTTTTAGAGAGAGAGCATGAGTGGGGAGGAGAGGGAGAGAGAGAATCTTAAGCAGACTCCACACTGTGCTCGATCTCAATCTC